GAAGGATCGAGGGGAGAACGAGGAGCACGCCCAAAATGGCCCAAAAGCCGATAGAAGATAGCTGCCACCGAGATGTATCGGGCATGCCCCGAATAAGACCCCAAAAAGGCCTGCACACCCCGAGAAGGCTCCTAACGCGCAGCCCAAGTAAACCAATTCGACAGTTACTCCAGAGTCCTATCGGTGATCCTCCCGTGCACCGGGCGCCTCAGCGGCCCCAGAGGGGAGACGAGGGCACGGACGAGGACGTCGCGATGGCGAGCACTCCGCGCCATCACGACGTCGTGGACCGCGACGTCCGCCATCCTCGTGGTGCAGTGCGCCTCGCACGTGCAGGCGCACCACCACTTTTGGTCAGTGCCCCCGCCTGGCCCTCGGCGGCGGCGCTTCCGTGGCCCCGCTCGTGGAGCGCTGGCGACCTACCCGAAGAGAGCCTCGCTAGTGGCCCGAGAGGCCCCAGAGCGCCCCTCTGCAGCGCAAGAGGGCTCCCAGACGGCCCGAGAAGGCCCCCACCAGGTTCCACAAGGCTCCCATATGGCTTCTGAGAGGGCCGCGAGGACGAACAACGGTACATGTTTAAACTATGTATCGTTGTTCGTTGTTCGTACACATTTTTGTGGTGCTGGCATTTTTTGAAAATGCTATATTTTCAGGGTTTTTCAGCACTTCCTCTTGCGATCGCTTCTCTGGCCGCAAGACGCCCCATCTGCTCCGACAAGCTTCCCAAATCGTGCTGAGGGCGCCCAGGGAACTCCAAAGAGAGATCTTAAGATGGCCTCGGAGCCCCTCAAGTCGGCTGCGGGGACTCGCGGGACGGCCGAGCAGCCCCCTAGACGGCCCCAAGGGAGGCCCAACAAGGCCAACTCTGGAGTCGGCCCAAGATGGTGTCCAGACGGCCTCGGATAGTCCCGAGACAGCCCAAGACGGTTTCCAGTCGGCCGAAAAGCTTCCAAAAGGCTCCCAGAGCACTCCAAGACCACTCCTACCACCGCCTTCACCTCCGCGTTCCTGCCTTCAGGCCTGCTTGCCTGCGTCCCTCGCCCACCTCCCCCTCCAGTGGCCACCACCATCCACGCGTTCCCCTCCAACTTCCCCCCCCCAGCGAGGCCCTGGAGACGCTCCACTTCCACGTCCACACCATGGCGGGAAGATTCCGCGGCCGGAAGGCCGCTGGTCAGCCCTAGTCTCTCCTACATGGCCGGTGCAAGCGCGCGCGAGAAGCCCAGGGCCTCAAGTGCACAAAGTCGCCCCTTTTTGGCGCCACCACGGGGCCGAATCGCTCAGGCCGGTCCCAGAGGCGCTCCAGAGGGGTTCCCAGACCGTCCAAGAGCGCTCCAAGACGGCCTTAGTGGGTCCCGAGACGGTCCACGAGAGCCCGAAGCCTTCGGGGGGGGGCTCCACGACGATCCAAGAGGCCACAAAGATGCCCCAAGAGGGCCCCGAGCGCACGCCAAAGAGGCACAAATCGTCAAATTCCTATGGGGAAACGTCTATTTTCAGCATGCCCGCCTTGCGTGCTCCTCAGCGTCCTAGGACACGCCAAGAGGCCCCCCCCAAACCCGCCAAGACGACCCAAGCGGCCCCCAAGAGGGCCCCAAGACGGTGCAAGAGGACCCAAAGACGGCCCAAGGGAGCCCTCAAAAGGCGGCTCCAAGAGGGCTTCAAGAGGACCCGAAGAGGCTCCCAAGAGGGCCCCAGGAAACCCTCCAGACAGCCTCAAGACGGTCCACGGCCTCCAAGACGCCCCGTGATGGCCCAGACGGGCCCCAAGACGTCCCAAAACGGCGCCGGAACGGCCCAAAAGGTCCCCTGAAGGGCTCCAGAAAGTCCCCCACGAGGACTATTGAGAAGGCGCACAGACGCTAAATAAAAGAGCGGTCGGTACAGTAAAAAGCTCTTCAATCCAAGGCTCCCAAGAGCGAAAGGTGACACAACAAGTTCTTCAACCCCTGGTCAATAGGGAACCTCTTATGGTGACAAGAGAATCGAAGTAAGTTGTGCAGGAGGCTTATGGTGTGCTCACCATTGCTTCGACGAACTCCCCAGGACTTCGAGTTCCATTGAAGTGTCTCACCGAGGTGGGAGCCTGGCCACGTGGTTCTTCTTGCCTGAGGCAGTGCTGGTGGCCGCCGAGGAGTGGGCTCCTCCGCGTATTCGAAACTCGTCGCCTCACGTCACTTACAGCGGCCCGGGGGAGACAAGACGACCCTTGAGTTCGACCTCTCCCGGTGGTGGGAGACTCTGCCGGCAGTGGCATTACTTCGTGTTCATCATGCAGGCCTTGTGCACTTGCCCATGGGTTTTGGCCAGTCAACTTTGTACAACCATGGGAGGGGAGGGTTAAACCGGTGGTCCTTATCGTGATTCCTCGTGGCCCTTGTGGCCGTGTGGCGGGGCTTCTCTGGATCGGCGCCTTCAGTCAAGTTGGACACGTTCGGGTGATATTGCGGGCGGCAGGCCAGACCCCACGGAGTCGTTTCCTACCAGCGGCACGGCCCCTGCGGGGGCGGGCGCGGGGCGTCGGGGCCTCAGGGCCTACGCCCCGCTATCGCCACCTCGCGGCCGCCGTGTTGTGCTCCGACCTCATCTTGTACAGCTTTTTGTTTCTCATTTTCTTGAAGCACATTCTGTCTTCAACGTGGGGGACCCGGTCCTCGTGGCCGTGATGGGTCGCAAGCAAGTTCTTCGACCCGAGGCTCCCGAGAGCGAGCCGCAACATCAAAAACTCTGAAAGCCACAGCTTCCAATAACGAGTGGTGACGCAACCAGCCCTTTACTCCAAGGCTCCCAAGAGCGAAGAGCGCCATCAGCCATCTCCTGCACGTTCCTGAAGCACGGCGCGGGTCTTCCCGCTTGCCATGGACCCCTCGCCCATTCACGGCTCCAAGAGGAGCACAGGGCCCCTCCATGGCTGCAAGACCGCTCCAGACCGACCCAGGACGGCCGAACAGGCCCCCAAAACAGCCCAGGAGGAGCCGTAGAGGGCTCCACGAGCGGACCAAGACGGCCCAAGACGGCCCCAAGGCAGCCCGAGAGTCGCCCAACGTCGTCGGTCTTACGGCTTGGAGGCGAAGGCCTTGGGATACGGCCAAAGCGTACCGTTCTTCCAGTAGTTCTTTCCGGCCGTGCGACTTCTTCGGCCGGCAAAAAAAGTCTCGTCGCGGAAGGCTTTTGGGGCCATCTTGCAGTCACATGATATCGCCGGTCGTATTTACCGCCGCCCCTGCCCCAGTAACAAAATCAACCAGCTGTCGTGGACGTAGTCCACGGGTTCGCCCTAGTCAACTACAACGCTGGCATTTCTGCGTGCGAGAAGGCCGAACAGTGGCAGCGGGCTGTGTCGCTGCTCAGCGAGATGCGAAAGACGAATCTGGAGCCAAATGTCATCAGCTACAGCGCGGGAATCAGCGCGTGCGAGAAAGCCAGGCAGTGGCAGCGGGCGCTGTCCCTCCTCAGGGAGATGCGGGAGTCGACGGTGGAGCCCAGCGTCATATCTTCTCTACGCGACTGGAGGCGGTTTTCGCCGCGGAGGCCGCTCAGCGTGGTATTGTTCCGCACTGTCGCGCCCGCGGGCGAGGGCTCGAACGAGCCGTACATTGCATCCCCTGCAAGCCCCAAGTTGGCTCAAGGATGCCCCCCCAAGATGCCCTTAGACGGCCTCGAGACGGCCCAAGAGACGCCCATGACGCTCCCAAAAGCGTCCCAGACGCTCCTCCCGGTACCCCCAAAAGGCCCCAAGAGGCCCACAAGAGGCCCTTCAAAGATCCCCAAGAGGCCCTCATAGGCCCCCAAGAGGCCACCAGTACGCACCAAGGACGCCTCAACGAGGCTCCCCAGAGGCTTCCCTCCGGAGGCATCCGAGGGCTCCGACGAGACTCCGAAGAGACCAACGGGAGCACCCGCAAACGGTCCAACTGCTCCTCGAGAAGTCTCCATCATGGCCCGAATTGCGTACCGGACGCCCGAGTGGCCCCCCGGGCACGACAAGCAATCAGCGACAAGCAGCACGTAGAACCGCCAAGCCGCCTCAAGCAGAAGCACACCACGGATAACACCAGGCCGTGGCGACGAGACATGGCCCATGTAGAAGGTCGCGGCAACCAGCACCAAGCATCAGCAAGCGGCAGGAAGCGGCAAGGTGTGGACGGGCAAACAACAACAATGCAAACAGCCAGAAATGTGTGTGGTCCGGCGGGAAAAACTTAGTTCACCAGTCCAGCCACCACGACAGCAGGACAGCAGGTGGACAGACCAGCAGGCAAGCGATCCTGACCAGCCTGCTGAGCCCCACCGCGGCTCCCAATGTTTTTGTCCAGGCCAGCCACTCTTGGCCCCTTCTTTCCATCGCTTCTTGCTCTTTGCGCAAAAGACCTCCACAAGGACCACCAAGCAGGCCCAGAGACGCCCATTAAAAGAGCGATCGGTGAAGTACAAAGCCCCAGAGGGCCTCTAGACGGCCCCCAGACGGCCTAAGACGGCCCCAGACGGCCCCGAGAGGCACCCAAGGAGGCCCAAGAGGGCCCCAAGAGGACCCCCAGGAGGCCGCAAGACGGCCCAAAAGGGCCCCAAGAGGCCCCCAGGAGGCCGAAAAGGAACCCCGAGAGGCCCCCATACAGTTCCCAAGCAGAAGGCAGCGTCCGCTATCAGGCTTCGAAAAGTCAACCAGAAAAAAAGTCACCAGAGCGCTTCGGGTGACTTTCTTCTCGGCCCCAGGTGCTCTCAAAATGGTTCAAACCAGGGGGAGCAGACAAGCGGCGGGAGGCACACCGCAGACCCACCATAGCCGTCTGTGATGCTCCGAAGGCTGTCCAGGCGGACGTGGAGCGGAAGGCGGACGAAGAGGAGGAAGCGCCCGCCTTCCAACTTCGGAATGGCGGCCAGAAAAACTAACCGAAGGCTTCGGTGTGGCTTTCTCCTGGGCGGGGGCCCAACGTGGAGGCCCGCCAGGGGGACCTGCTGGTCCTGGACGAAGTCCACGGGTTCGCCCTAGTCAGCTACAGTGCTGGGATCAGCGCGTGCGAGAAGTGCGAGCAGTGGCAGCGGGCTTTGGCTTTGCTCAGCGAGGTGTGGCAGGCGAAGTTGGAGCCCGACGTCTTCTCGACCACAATACCAGGATCAGCGTGTGCGAGGCGGATTTGCAGTGGGGAAGCCCTCTTTCGCTCTCGCTTGGAGCCTCGACGGCCCCAGACGGCCTGGTACCGATCCACAGCGGTCCAGGCTGATCGAGGCAGGCTCGAGGAGGCACCCAAGACGGGCGAAGACTGCCCATGATGCCCCTGGACAGCCCAAGGCTGCTCCAAGGTGGGCCAATGAGGCTGCGAAATGGCGCTCTGCGCATCGCTCCCGCAGGCAGACATCGCTGAGTGTCATCAGCTTCATATTCGCAACTCCTCGGCCCCGAATTGCGCGCTCCAGAAAGGCCCTCGCCTTCGAGGATCGAAGGAGTTGCCATATCTTCCTCGGCGGAAGGCGGCGGACGCCATCGGAATGATAACAATGGTGACTCCGCTGGCAGAAGCCGGCGGAAGTCAACATGCGGCAAGTTTTTTTTTGTTTCCGGGTTTCCGAAACCCGCCAAATAGCTCAGAGAGGCGCCCCAGAGATTTCATGGGGGCCCATGAGCCTCACAGGAGTGCCCCAGAGCCCCCAAGACTCCCCCAAGATTGCCCAAGGTGGCGTCGACTGGTGGCTCCAAGGGGGCCCTACACCGTCCCAAGATGGCCCGCCTGTATCCCATTTGGCGATCCCCAGGTCCCCAGAAGGGCCTCAGGGGGTACCAGACACTCAGATCGCCCCGAGAGGCCAGCCTATGAAGCTAGCTTGAGGAGGTGGCACGAGTGCATCGCTTCGTAGAGCTCCTGTCTGCGCCCTGAGCTTAGCTCGTCGAGTTTCCCCGTAAGCGCAGCGGCGAAGTTAGACGTCTCGTAGGGCATCTGGCCATTGCGTGAACTAGCTGGGAGAAATTTGGGTGCATGCAGCTGCTTGGCCCCAGAAGAGGGCCCCAAGAGAGCCCAACCGCGACCAAGAGCCCTCGAGAGGGCATAGCGACGGGGCGAGCCGGCGGCAGGGACACCAGCAACAACGGCAACATCAACCAAGAGCGACAGGAGAGGGCGATAACGCTCGTGATCGCCCCCGCCCCTTCCCCCCCGATCACGTCACGCTGTTTTCCCCACGTGTCTCAAGGAATCTTCCAGGGTTTCCAGAGAATCTCACGGGTTCGCTCAGATCATCACTATATCCATATCTACTGCTGCCGTCTCGGCCCAGGTACTGGATACAGGTACAGCGCCGCCTGCCCGCGGCGCATGGGAAAAAGGGATCGGTACCCTCTCCCTTACCTTCCTCTACCTACGGCAATCCTTGTAGATTCGCCTCTTCGGTCGTCAGCCTACATCCGCACCTTTGGCATGTCCACTTGCTGCCACAATGCGCCGTCAGGCGGGCGCCCTCCGCCGCTGCCGAACGAGCCGCCGTGCGGACCCGCCGCCCTGGCGCCCGGACGGGCGCACGCCGTTCTCAGCGTCGGTTTCCGACGCCCGTTCGGGCATTTTGCGCGCGCGAAGCCTGGCGAAGGCGGCGGTGGAGTCGAACACAGAGCCGAAACCGAACTACAAGTGTAGACTAATTGAACAAACTCTGCATCATAGGATGAACTTTCCTAGCGTGAAGTTAGTACGGCTGCGGCTGCAGCAGCACCAGCAGATGCGGGTGCGGCTGCGGCTGCTAAGGAGGAAGGTTTTTTTTGTTCGGGCAGCGCTGCAGCTTCGGGCAGGGCGCGCCGAGCCAAAACAAGTTCCAGGGATACCTTGCCGCTTCGGCTTCTTATTCTCCGTGCGAGGCTCGCGTGCAACCGAGCCGGCCTGCCGGCCCGCCTTGGCCACCCGCCCGGCCCACGCATTTGCTGCAGCATCTGCCAACAGCGAGAAGAAGGGGCGCGCGAGGAGGCGAGAAGGCGAGCATGTTCGTGAGCTTCCGACGCCACCCACTCGACATGTAACCGAACTTCCCGGATAATAAATCATCGTCTTTGCACGATTGAGAGTCGACTATCCTCGGCCAAGACAGAGTTGGTCGGGGGAGAGGGGCGGCAAGGTCGACCTCGAAGTTGCTATCTTCTTGTGTTGAACAGCAACGTCATCAGAAACGCGTGGCATGGCAATGGGGGGTTTCACCATTTCAGCTTTCGCACGTCAACTTGTGCGAGGGCTATGGGGATTCTCACGATTTCACCATTCCCAAGTTGCGACGTCAAGGATGCCTCTCGTCAAAGATCTCACCCGTCGTCGACTTGCCGGGGCAAGTCGTTTATTTTACCCCTTTGGACCCCGAGCTTTATTATGCACCGGGTGTTATTATCCCCCTTCTGGACTCCGATCTTTATTATCCCCCCTGGACCCCGAACTTAATTTCCCTTCAGGACCCCGAAATTTATTTCCCCCGCGCTCCGAGCTGCCACCGCCTCCCGCGCCCGCTGCCGCACACCCTCGTTCGCGAGGCTGCGGCCGCAAGGGGCTGACAGGCAAGCCCTCCAGGCACGCCGAAACGGTTCGTCGTCAGTCACGAAACGCATCGCGCTGAATGTGAATTCTCAGGAGCGAAAGAAGGACGTAAACGTTCATGAATCCACGTTGGCTTCGAGAGTACGCATTGCGCGAACGTTCGTATCACGCGGCTGGTCCCGCGGTATGAAGGACCGTGTTCATGTGCATGGTTTGGCGCGTACGTCCTTCGTGGGTTCCCTAAACTCAAGCGCCAAGATGGATACTAAAATTCCAGCCCGTGGCAATGTCTGCCGCGAGCCGACGAGTGGCACAGAGCGTCCAGCAATGGCTTGCCACCGACCATCGGGTCCCAGGGCGAGGATCGCGATCGCAGCGCCGCACCTCCTCCTTGTCGTGTCCGCGGAGAAACACCCGCCTGCGACCATGCCCGCGGAGTCGCGATACTGGTCGAGGGGCCCGCCGATGACCATCGGCCCCTGCGCCACCCTCTCCCCGTCGAAGGTCGGCGTCGTGAGGTGTGTCGGCGCCACGCCCGGAGCCATGGCGAAGGCTCGGCCTTCTGGCCCGCCAGCGCTCTCGGCAGGAGCGCGTTCTGTTTCCAGAAGGCCTCGACGCCAACGCAGTCGGCACAAGTCCAGATCTTGTGGGGCAGGTCCTCCAGGGCCCGCCCGCAGCGTTTGCAGAAGCCGTCGCTCAGGACGTAGCCTGCCCGCAGGCGCCGCTCGCGCGGCCACTGCCAGCCCGACTCGATGGCCAGGTCGAGCCTCAAGTCCGATATCGCGCTCTCCATCTCGAAGCGGCCCATCTGTCGAGTGATGGGGAGGAATCCGCTCCTCGTTGAAGGTAATCACCCGCTTCGTGACGTGCCGCCCGCAGCTGGCTGCGGAGCTCCGCCACCACGTCGTTCGGTACGCCAAGGTACTCCGTGAAGCTGGCGAGGCGCTCGCCCCCCGCCGTCGGCAGCGTTCACTCGCCGTGGCCCGCCGCCGTGGGCCGATGCCACCGCGTCACCTCCCGCGCGACTCGCGCACCAGAACCGTCCGCTCTCCCGCATCCGGAGACTGCGGCAGACATGGCGCCCTGCCGCCCTACGCGGCGGGCCTGGCTGGGCCTCCTGGCGCACCCGCTTGCGCCCCGCCGCCGCGTCGATGCCGAGGTTGACCGCCTCGGACGCAGATGCTCGTGCATCCCCTCCTTTCGGAGCGCGGCGACCTTCGGGAGGGAGGCGACGACCCGGCGCTCAGGAGCCCTCTGCGCGCACGACGGTGTCGCCCATGATTCTCCACAGCCCCATAGCGCAGACCGCGTGCACCCTTGGCAGAATGGGGTGGAAGTAGAGTTTGCTCAGGCTGACCCCGTGCCTGGCGCCAGCCTCCACGGAGCGTGTCGCCTCGACTGGCGGGGACAGCCCGCAGAAGCGATCCCGCAGCCAGCGCGGCGACAGAAGCATCTGCACCTCGAGGCCGACCACGACCGCAGGGTAGTCGAACCCCCCCGCGATCACCATGTGCTTGACATTGGACACGCAGTCGTAGATGGTCGCCACGTCCATCAGCAGCGTCGAGAAGGCAACCGCCAGCTCCTGCACCGCCTCGTCCAGGACCGCGCGGATCAGCGCCGCTCGCAAGGCGCCGGACCCGCGGATCGCAGAGTCCTAGAAGGGGCCGAGGCCCTCCGCCCACTCGGAGGTTATCGCAGCCAGAGCCTGCGACCAGACCTTGGGCGGCAGCGGGGCATGCCGATAATGCGCTCCCCGCCCATCGGCTTTTCCCGGGGTGGCGCTTATGACGCCGAGGAGCTGCCTGGGCCAACAGCTGAGCCGCTCGCAGGACTTGAGCAACTGCAGCAACTCCTGGCCCTCCTGCGGCAGACCGTTGACGTCGTCCTCGCCCAGCCCGTCGTTGCCGCGGGCTGTGCGCAGCCCCTGTGCGCGCAGCCCCTGCGCATGCCGTCCATCTCGAGGTCCTCGAGGGGGTCCTGCGTGGCGCACGCCAGGGTGGCCCTCACGTGCTTCTCCAGGTCATCCCATTTGTCGGAGGGAGGCCGCCTCAGGCCACCCCATCGCTCAGCCTTGGAGCACATCGCGGCCCTGGGGATCCGCCACCGTCGAGCAACCCATCCTCGCATCCATCGGCTGAAGCGTCGCGTCCTTGACGTGGCGGTGGAGCTCACCAGACTTCGACAGCCATATCCTCTTCGCCCAGGACGCGAGCTCACGCCGCTGATTGGAGATAGCCCTGCTGTGGCTGGCCACCAAATAATTGTCAGTGATCGCGACCATGATCTCGTTGAAACAAGGACCAATTTGGGTTCGGGAGGGTCTCCAGTTTTCGGGCCCTGGGCCGAGGAACCTCTGCGTGGCCGAAGCACGCCACAGCCAGAGAAAACCCTTCGTTCCTTAGTCAGCGCTCTTTGTGGTAGCACGATGACCGTAGCAAATGACAGCAGGAAACCCATGAAAGCCTAAAGGCAGCCCTATGAATTCCCCAATAGGGCATCCATGACGGACAGGCCGACGAACGCATAGAACAAACAATGCAGAGCCAGCGGTTACCGCAGAGCTAGCGGCAGCGAGGACGGGAAGTCATTATCAAGCAGCGGCAGCAAGCAGAGCCTGCTGGCAGCAGCAGAGTATCAGTACAGGAGAACAGTCAAGCCGCATCATAAGGACAAGTCGTTTTCCATGGATCTTGCGTCCTTGCCACTTCGGCCATTCCGTAGCCTCTTCGACCCGTCTTGCGCCGCTCGGCAAGGTCAACGAGCGCGTCCAAAGCCTTTGCGTCCTTACCGCGAGTCCTTGTGATCCTATCTGACATTAGTCAGGGATTGCCGCCATCAGTCAGCAAAGCCTGCAGGAGCAGGGCTAGCAGGAGCAGCAGCCCAGAGAGGCAAACGCATGCAATCAGCAGTAGCAAGCCCAAGAAAGCCCGAATGTTTCTCCAATGGGGGCCCGAAAGGGCACCATCACCGAATAGGCCAGCGATCGCAGCAGGCAAGCAGCAGAGCCAACAGGGCCAGCAGCAGCAGCAGCCGGGATCGACACATTACACGAAGCCGCAACAGCAGTGCGCACCATCATGAATCTACAGCAGCAGGTAGCAATACGCAACATTAGCAACGTGCAGCAAGCAGCGGCTGAGCAGGAGCAGGCAACATCAGAGGTAGTAGGAAGAAGAGGAGGAGGAGGAGGAGGAGGAGGAGCAGGGGGAGTCCTCCAGAACATGTTCAGGACGTTCAGGACCCTTCTCGAGAGGCTCATGCGCCGTCCAACGCCCAACCCGCACATCAGCCGATTGTGATGCACTCTAGCAGCTACGTGCCAAGAATCAGCCGAGCCGTCGTCCTGATTGACTGGCATCAGTGTGACGCGTCTTTGCCGAGCCATGCTGGACGATCAAGTTGCTTGTAGATCCCACGCGAGTGTACACTAGTCTGCTACAGCGCTGGGATCAGTGCGTGCGAGAAAGACACGCAGTGGCAGCAAGCTCTGGCGTTGTTCACCGATGTGTGTGAGGCGAAGTTGGAGCCTGACGTCTTCATCTACGGCGCTGCAGTCAGCGCGTGCGGGCAAAGCGGGCAGTGGCGACAGGCGTTGTCGTTGCTCGACCATGCGCGAGAAGCGAGGCTGGCGCCCGATATCGTTAGCTACAATGCCGTGAGCAGCGCGTGCGGGAAAGACGCGCAGTGGCAGCAAGCTCTCTCGTTGCTGAGCAGGATGCGTGAAGAAAACCTGGAGCCCGATGTCAACATGGTACAGTCGGACCGGGGTGTACGATCGATGCCGCCTCGGGGAGGGTACCCCAGTGTTCTTCGTGTTAGTTGGATGATATGGTGCATCATGGGGATTGTACCCTTTGTTTTTTGTTCTTGGGGGCGACGGGGGAAACCGGTGTTCTTGAAGGATGTTCTTCTGGCCTAGGTCCGACCGTACACCCTGCCAAGATTCGCGCGTGCGGGCGGGGTGGGTACTCTACGTGATGCGACCAGGGGAGAAAGAAACGCCCAGAGAGGGGTCTCAGCGCCCCGCTGGGCAGTAGACGATTAAACAGAGATCCCCGGTTTCGTTGTCGTCGTCGTCGTCGTCGAGGCCGCCAGGCCGCAGCCAGTGACCCCGGCAAGAAAATCTGTGGCCTTCGGCCTTCCCATTCCGCCACCGTGTTTGGGCTGTCTGTGGGAGGCCCCACGAATGCCTGTGGGGATCTCTTGGGAGGGTTTTAGAAAGCCTCTTCGAAGTGGTTTCGGGGCTAGACGATGGAAACGAACGCAGGATTAGAGACATGCGCAATCTGTTTACGGAGCCTCGCGTCGTTCATGCCATCGATTCCCTCGCAAGGGGTCTTCATTGCCTTGCTTTTGCTGCCACTCTTACTAGCGCTCTGCATGATGCAACTGGAGTCACTTTACAGTATAGGTTGACCCATTTAAAGGCGCGACCATCAGGGCCGAGAGCATGGATGACAGTGAGTCCGAAGTCCTCTTGCAGAAGAGGGGCCCAACCGTCATCGTGTTTGAGCATGCTCTTGAGTTAACGACCGTCCGCAAATGCTGACCACTGTGGAGGAGGGGCATTCGGGTCGGTGAAAAGGTCCTCACAATGGAAACCACTGGCGTTTTTGTCCGCGGGGACGTCGCTTGGGCGAGGCCTATTGGGTTCCCATGACTTCCAGCTGAGGTCTGACTGATTCAACTTTCCCGTCGCCTCGAGCGTGTCATCTCCTGCAGGTGTTGCCACCGGCGCTGGTAGGGAGCCCTCTCCACCGAAACCTCCACGTGCAGTCGCCCAAGATGATTTCTTCATCTCGTACCTTTGGGTGCCTGTCAAAAGGTGGAAGACACGGCAGCAGGTTTTCTGCAGCGCCTTGGCAATCTTGCCGACGTGGCCCGCCATGTCTGACGTGCGTGGAGCTGTCGGCGGATGTGAAGGCAGCTTGACAATCTCTCGAGGGATATTGGAGAAGTTGGCCGATGTGAGCCCCTGCCCCACAACGTGCGGGGGCATGGTGATATCGGCGTACCTGTGCGTGCGGGGGCATGGTGATATCGGCGTACCTGTGCACGTCGTGTGCAATCGTTGGCCCAGCTGTCTGGCCAATGAGTATGTTGCCAATCTTTTCCCATGGGATCCGCAATATCTTCCACATGCAGCTGGCTACGCTGTTGCATATGTCTCTCGGCGGACACTTCAGTCCCTCATCGCCGACCGCAGGCACGTCGCGGAATAAGAAATCAGGATATTGCCGAAGGGTGTTGTCCATGGCCGAATCCTTCAGGAAAATTTCCGTGAAGGATAGCCATTCGAGCATGAAAGCAAGCCACGGTGCCGCCGTGGAGGGCGATGGGGTCGAGGAGCGACTGCCGTTCAGCAATTCAGTGTCCTCATGCACCGCATGATCGGTGGTGGTGATGAGGCCCTGCTTGGTGGAACGGAGAGTGAACTGTCCGCTCCCATCTGGGCGCTTCTCGAGATACAGGAGACAAATCATCGGGGATTTATCCTGATTGCGGCGGCGGGCAACCTCGGGCTCAAACGCAGGGCCCACGCGGATGCTTCCATCGGCGCCAGCTGGAGACATGCCTCCGATCTGCATCCCCTGCAATTCATTCGGGGTGTTCGCCTGCTGGACCGAACTGGAGCGGTGTTGCCTCTGTCGCCAAGAGAAGTGTCGAGGGGCGCGCGAGTTCGTCTTTGATCGTGATAACGGCTGCGGCAAGGCGTGCGTATGGCAACACATGCGCGTGTTCGAATGACGGACCCAGCAGGGACGGTATTGGGGTCAAGAACGACAAGGTTGGCGTTCTTGGCGGTCTCCGGCTTCTTCGCGGTCTCTGCTTTAGAAACTGGAAAGATGAGCGACAGCTCCAACAAATATTGCCAAAGGTGGGCCTTCTTAGGCCCGAAATGCTTAGTAATCATGTCAGCATCATGTTCCTCAGTACCTACACAGTTGAGTTGTATATGTTCCTGCTGACATGTTTCCGTAATCAATCCAAATTAATACGATGCGCACGGTGTAGGTGGCGAAGTGCTGGTTTTCGTCTTGTTTGGCCAATCGTAACAACTGCCTCGTTATCCTCAGCCACAATGAGGTGCACCATCTTGGGTGGTGCCTGAGTGGGTGGAAAGACGAGGAGCATGACGTACGATGTCATCGCACATGATGTTGGATGATGGTGTTGGGTATGGTGGGGTAGCTCGTGTCGACGTCCTGGTATCTGGGGAAAAAGCGCACGTGGGCGGAGCCCTTCTTGGTGGTGTTCTGCGTCGCTTTTTTTTTGCGTAGCCATTTTGGCTCAAGAGGATCACTTGGTTCAAGCTGTACCCCTTTAAATTCCCGAACGAGTTGTACCCCCTTGAATTCCCGATCACCTAACTACCATACACCTCTCGCTCACAATTCGCCCTGTTCACGCAATGGCCGTTGACATGGCTGCTCTGTTTAACTTGCTTGGCCAAAAATTCGAAGCTCATCTCGGACCGATTCGGAAGGACATCCGGGATCTGAGGGGCAAAACCGACGCCCACGCCGGGCGCATCAGCAAGCTGGAGGAGGCTATCTCTTCAGGCCAATCTTCCAGGTTCGAACCATCTTTCGTGGAGATCCGGGGCATGTGCGAGTGGACGGATCGCAAAACGGATGGGATGTCAAGGCCGCAGGCTGTGGACTTGACCAACCGGCTCAAGAACGCCATCGGGGTGGAGATGGGTGCCAAAGTAGGTGATATCGAAGTCCGGGGATCCAAGGTCCACAAGTTTATCATCCACGTACAGCCGCCTTACGCTACGGATATCGCCGTTCTATTCAGGGAGGTTTTGAAAGCAGGGGGAGAGCCTTCCAAGCACAATGGCAATGACCTTTTCACCACGGTCGAGAAGTCGCCCGAGGACCAGAAGCGCTTCGAGGCCGGAGGCAAAGCTCGGGCGTACTTGGAGACCAAGGCGAAGGCTTTGGACCCGACCAGCACAGCCCGCCACTCGGGCCCGCCCGCCTTCCAGCTCTCCGTGAAGAAGGACTCGGACGAGAGGGTCGTAGGGAAGGTGGACGCAAAAGGAGAGGGTTGTCTGGGACGTTACCGCCCTTCACAGGAACTTCGGAGCCACCCCCGACGTCTTCGAGGGGAGCTGCGTGGGTTCCGCTCTCTGTGAGCGCATCCACAGTCGCGAACTTCCTGTTTCACAGCCGTGTCATGGAACACTTGCAAGAAAGGGGTATCTGCTGTAAGACGGGTGTGTAAGCAGCTCCGGAGCCTTACAGGGTGTGACTTTGTAGCACTATTGCAGGAAGTTCCAACATGGTTGAAAGTGCATGGTAAAACGTATCACTCACATACCATCTTAGCTGCTGGGCATTGTGACTGGCCTTACTATTCCTTGACTTTGGATGCGGGCTCTCAGAGATGTGGGCTTCGGAGCTTCTTGATATGGCGCAGCCATCGGGAATCCAATATACATTGCCGCAAACATTTTAGACAATATTGAAGGAGATGGGTGGGCGACTCAGGTGTTTGAGGAGACATCGAGGCTTGTCCAGAAGATCCGCACCGCTTACAACGCTACGTCGCTCGAGATTGTGCTCGGCTTGGACGCGAACGTGCAGTTCCCCGCCTCCTGGGGGTCCATTACTGGGGACGCCGTGCTCGAAGCTCGGCAGAGCCACTCTCCAGCCAAAGTTTCGGTTGTCGCTTCATGGGTAGAGTCTCTGGGGCTGAGACTGATGAGCGCGTTTCGGAGTCCACGAGTCGAGGCAGATGGTGTGTTAAGTTTTGACAAATTGTGGACGCACTCGACGTCAAGAGGGCGTTCCCACGAGTGCCAGCTAGATGTTATAGGGATCACGTCCGGTATATCCGGTGAGGCTTGGGTGGAGAAGCCAAATCATAAGTTGTTCGCGCTGTCCGACCACAGACCTGTTTGGGCGATCATCGAACAGACATCTCCTGGGGGTTTGCACGAACCGCAGCCGCCTACATTGAAGGGTTGGGCACCCCGGGAGGATGCCGATACTTGTCTCTTCAAATAGTTAGTGGTAGAGAACATCCAGGGTGGCTTGCCAAACATCGAAACCAATGTAATATAAGCTGTTCGCACGATGCCATATTATACTGCAAGCCAGCGGAGGCGCAAGACAACACAGGAGGCGAATCAGTCTATCAAAATTGCGCGCCGTGCAGTCGGGTTGGCAACCGGAGAAGCTCGGCGAGAACGCGCACGAGAGCTGCGACGAACGATCCGGAGGGCAACCGAGTCGAAAAACTCGCTGCGGCTATCCAAGGTGAGGCCGGGGAAAGGCCCCGACAGACTTCCGGTCGCCTTGCTGGTGGGTGGCGCTCGCACCGCCGACCGGGAGGCATGGAAAATGGCTTTGAAAGAATTTGGACAACACAGGTTTGGCCATTTTTCCAACCAGTTCACCGCGCAATGGCGTCGGCTGGGGAGCTTCGACCAGACGCTCTCCAACAATAGGCTGGACGGACACCGGGCCGGCCATATTCGCCCCTGTAATGTTCTACATGGCAGAGCCCGTTTGAAAAGAGGCAAGGCTCCAGTGGCAGACGGCGCCCCAGCGGAAGTCTACAAGGCGCTTCCCCTGCTTGGTATACATAAGTTTTGGCAGTTGTTCGACCGCCGCTACAGCAATCTATCGTCTCCAGATTTTTGCCACTTGGAAACTAATTGACTACGCTGGCATACCCAAGATACCAGGGCCATATTTGTTACGGGACTTTCGGTGGATTGGCAAACTCGACGTATGC